CAAAAATATATATATATATAAGATTATATAAAATACAAAACACTGTAATTTAGTATGTTTTTTTCCTCCAAATTCTGATTAAGGTCAACAGAATTGATGGTTGTAACAGATTTCATACCACTATTCCATGCCAACTTAGAGAGAGCAAAATTGTACAAAAATATAGATTTTTTTTAATATTATAAATAATTTTCAAGTAAACAATTATTAATATATTTTTATATATTTAAATAATTAATCATTTGAATTAATTATAATTTAAATAAAAATAAAATACAGTAATTTAGTAAGTTACAAGGGGCCTTTTTTTTAATGCTGATCCAGATCGTCAAAAAGATAAGAGCAATATGAAAATAATTAATTATTATTTAAATAATCATTTTAAAATATGTTTGAAATGCATGGATCAAAATGAAAAAAAAAAACAGTTTAATTACATTATTTAATTATTATTTAAATAATGAATTATTCCTTAATACTTAAAATGACAAATTATTAAATAAATTAAATAATTGACATTAATGAAATATTTTCACAGTTTAATATATTCATTTGTTTCACTTAAATGCATTTTTTAAACATAAGTATGAAAATAAATATAAAACTGAATTGTGAAGTAAAATTGAAGGGAATTTTTTTTCAAAACACGAGAAATATTTAATTATTATTTTAATGAACTATTATTTAGATAATTAAATAATTTGCTGTAAATAAATATTTTTCCCAGTTTGACACATTAATTTTTTATTATATTTATAGAAGTGTAAAAAATAAAACTATTTAGAAATCACCAAGCAAACTAAGCTAAACTGCCGAAAACGATTATAATTTCATTTAAATCGTAGCTCTTCAGTTCATGTTTGAAATCTAAATGACACTGGATTTCATTCTGTCTGTAACAGAACAATGTAATGCTGTTAAATCCATGGCACCAGTAATTCAAGCTGATTGTATCATATTATGAACTGTAATTGAATATCTGTCATGTGTAAGCATGCCGCTTCCTGCCTCTCTAACGCTCTCTTTTCTCCCTCGAATCCCTCTCGGCTCCAGGACAAGAGCTCGCAGGCGCTGAGCCTGAGCAACGTGGCGGGAGTTTTCTACATCCTGGTGGGCGGCCTGGGTCTGGCCATGATGGTGGCCCTGGTCGAGTTTTGCTATAAGTCCCGCGCCGAGGCCAAGAAACTGAAGGTGGAATCGGCCGAACTGAATTTTAGCCCCGCTCCCAGCCCAACGCACAGTGTGCAGAACTTAGCCACTTATAGAGAGGGATACAACGTGTACGGCTCTGACGCAGTAAAGATATAGGGGTAGGACAGAAAGCCTGCTTGCGGTCGCAGGGGTTCGGCCTGAGCCTCGTCTGTCATATAGCTGCAGCAGACGTCTGCTAATGTTGTGACAGCTTCCCATCCCTCCGTTTACTTACGTTCCTTCTTGCTTTGTTCACTTCTGAAAGAGACCCCTTCATTTCTGTCGCTTTTCTTTGTTTTTTCGTATGGCATCTGCCTTGACTAGAACGTGTTGGGATTGCATTGGTTTGGTCTTCCTGGCTGCAGTTGCTGGTGTTTTTGCACTGTTGGCTTTCTGTTTCAGACACCTGCATTAAAACAAACGGCACAAGATGACAAACACACACACGGGCAAAGCTGCCATATTGCATTAGGAGCTCAAATTAGTAGCAAACCAAACATCTTAGTATGCAACCTTCAAACACTTTATAAAGGAATGCTGCTCGTTTATTTGTTATTTAGAGATGTTAGCTCTCTGCTATAGACCGGCGGTTCTCAACTGGCTCGTTTTGATGGACAAAAGCAATGCTCAATGCAAATAATAGTGTGCAAATAACCACATAATCTTCTTAATAAATCAATTCACTTTTAAAAAGCATCGAATTCAACTTTTTGGCATAAATTTGCAAAAGTCTTTTGCTAATAAAATAGCCACTTAGGCTGGTATTTATGCAACAAATACACTGTTTAACCCTTGCATTACATTAAAAATTCTAGGCAGGATTTTTAGGACTCTAAATGGATTCAATATAATTCACCAAAAATCACACTATGGAAAACAAACAAACAAAAATATAGTAAATCTTCTATAAATCACCATGTAAAATAGTAAATCTTTAACATTAATAGTTCTTACACATTACAAACTGAAAAATAAACATGCATATGTCTTTTTAAAACTGTACCTAATTTTTTTACAAACTTTTTTTTCCCCGCAAACTGTACATTTTATAAACAGTACCATTACTTATTTTTTTTTACAGTTATGTTTTTTAAACCGAAGTGTGGAAAAGCATTTAATCTGTGAATAAAAGCATGGCACTCGCAACGCCAAAATCATGGGTTCAATTCTTAGTGAAAATTAACATTCATGAACTGATCAAATGTACACCATCACGTAGTAGATAAAATGATCTTACATTTTTTTTGTATTATAATTATATTTTTATTAATATGTTGAATCAGTTTTTATTTTAATATTATTTTTAAATTTTTTTGTGAAAGTTTTAATCATTTTGTTTTGTCATTTTTAGTAGTTTTTTTTAAATATATGTAATAATAAAAAATATCGTATATAGTCTATATAGTTTTTAGTTTCAATGATTTTTATTTGTTTTAGTTATTTTAGTTTAACAAAGTAACATTAATGCGTTATTTGGTACGAGTAAGGCATTATAGATCAAACAGCTGTTGGTTTAATGATGTTTGGTTGTGTTTCTCTTTCTTTTATTGTTAGCGACATCAACAAACCAATCTATAATGCTGTACTGATACTGAATAATATCCGACTGACCTCCAAACCCCTGCTTACGAAACATTAGCAGTATGAACATATAAAGTGTTGACTGTTACGGGACACTGTACAATTAAATCCCTAGATTTAGCGGGAACACGAGCGAAGGGCTGCATGCTGGCGTTAGAAATGCAGATGTCTAGACATGTACATTTTGAGATGTTTTCTGTATTTGTGTGTGGCGGCCTTGAGACCATAGAAACCAAAAACTCACCTTGTGCCTTAAACCATCTTACCCCTCAACCGAAGTTCAGATTTCACGCAAACCATGGCAGAAGCACGCCGTCGCCGGCTCCAACGCGACTAACCTGATAACGCACTCTTTCAGCCCTCGGAAAAGACGTCAACAATTGTAAACGAGCCGGGACGGCATGGATACGAACGCTTGGCGAGCATCAAGGATCCATGATGCCTTATCCTAACTTTGGGGACGAACATCATCGCATACGAGATGAAAAATCACGACCAGTAAACTGTAAATGTAGAGACATTAGCCGCGCTTCCCTGATTAGCCGTACGACATCAGCGAACCTGTATTAAATCACGTAGTATTTACGACATGGTCCACAATCACTAGCTACTAAACCGTATGTAGATATTCTCTCAGGAGCCACGAAGGGGGACGACGGAAACACCTTTTATCATAATATTATTTTTAAATTTTTTTGTGAAAGTTTTAATCATTTTGTTTTGTCATTTTTAGTAGTTTTTTTTAAATATATGTAATAATAAAAAATATCGTATATAGTCTATATAGTTTTTTCCCTGATTAGCCGTACGACATCAGCGAACCTGTATTAAATCACGTAGTATTTACGACATGGTCCACAATCACTAGCTACTAAACCGTATGTAGATATTCTCTCAGGAGCCACGAAGGGGGACGACGGAAACACCTTTTATCATCTCGACAGGATTTCTTCAAGATGCCACCGGGAGCCGCTTGCTTTTTGGACTGAAATGTAAATAGACCAGTAGTAAGAGCTGAACACGATTCTTTTATAAAGCATCTTAGATAATAAATCATTGCAATAATGACTATAGGGAGACCTGACTTGTAATTAAGAGATCTTTTATATACACACAGTATTATATATATACAGAATATAATAGAGGGACATCTGAACTAAAACATGTGAGACCATGGCATCTGTTCTGTTAACAGTTGTTTTGATAACCGATGTAACGCAGTGTGTACGTGTCTTTGTCCTTAATGAATGTCCACGCATTTCACATTTCGCACAAACACACGAGCGTAGGATGTGAACGTCGCACCGCATCGCATCGCATCGCACACCGTGACCAGGGGTCGCACCGACTCCTGATTCTCACCTTTGGTGTTTGGTTTTGTTTTTGCGTTCTTTTGTTTTTCTCTTTGTACCCACCGATTCAAATAAAACTGGAACATTTATACAATACTGTTTTTTCTTTTCATTCATTCAGACAGTGTGAATGAAATATGACCTTGGTTTATCTGATGCCAATGGAGTTGTAATAACAACTCAGACAAAAATTATCATTCTGTCATCATCTACATCATTTTCTTCCTCTGTGGAACACTAAAAATATATTTTTTAAAAGTAAATGATGAAAAATTTAGTTATAGTGTTCATTAAACTGCAACAAATATAGGCCTACCAACAAACTTTGTTGTAAGTTACTCATACTTTTTAATGTTAAAGGCAGAGTAAGTGATTTCTGGTAGCCAATGTTGATATTTGAAATCACCAAAACAAACACGCCCCTACCCCAAAAGGGTCTTGCCCCTATTTTGATAGCTCCGCCCCACATATACGTACGCAACCCAGGCAACGATTAGTTCTGTGAAACAAAGCAAAACCAATGTTACACCGTGTCTATGGACGTGAGCTGTATGAACGTGAGCGGCGCGGTGCAACAAATCCCCGACAGAAAACTGCTGCCGGGTTCTATTTATGACGTGCTGACACAAATTTCAAAGGGTTTTCAACGGCCCTTTGATCGCGTCCAGTGTACCTCCACATCACGAGTAGACACGCCCCTTATTGCTGATTGGCTACAAGTTTGTTTTGCTATTCGGCCCGAATCAGTTTTCTAAAGTGTTTTTGAAAAATCACATACCCTGCCTTTAAATTTAGTAATGCGCCAAAATTTCACTGACCGAAAATATTCGGCCAATGAGAAAAAACAAACAAACAAACAAAAAACAATAAATTTTCAGTCGAAACTGCTTCTCCCATGTCCAAAATGATGACCAAAATGATCCCAGAGTTGCAATATGTAAAGTTTGTTCGACTGTAAAAGAAACTGGAGAACTTGTGAACATCAAGACAGCTGTTTATACCAGTTTAAGATGTTTTTTCAGAGAACAAGAAGCTAATGGCTAGCAAATGAGTCAGTGCTGATGATTCAGGTTGGTTGAGATGCCATCAAAACCACCAAAGTGTCAAAGTGTTTCTACATTTTCTGGAAACCAACCTGCAAATGGCTTACTTATAGCTGACTTTGCTATTGATCTGGTTTAAAAGAAAGTATTTTAACTAGTGGCCCACCGAAAATATTTTTTTTACCAGAAATGTTCATTTAGCTGAAAAAAGAAACTGGTGATTTAATTGGGGTTATTGAGTAATTGAACTCGGTGTGCTGTTCAAGGTGTGGTGTTCACAGATGATAAACCAGTTGTAGTTCTTCAGTCATAGTTTCTAGCTACTCTAGACTGGTCATTGGCTGGACAAAGTTAGTAGACCAAACAAACACATTAATGTTTTAAAACACAAATGTGTTTGTTTGTGCATCTCAACCAGCCTGACACATCAGCATTGGCTCATTAACATGTTCAACAGACATCATTCTCCAAAAACACCTTGGATATCTCAAACTGGTATAACCAAGTGGCTTGTTGCTGGTCCAAGATGGTCTACTAGCATGGACCAGCCAATGACCAGCCTAGACCAGCTAGAAACCATCTACCATGTTCCAAAACAGTGACTTGTACACCCTCATATGTGACCCTGGACCACAAAACCAGTCATAAGGGTCAAGTTTTCGAAATTGAGATGTTTACATCATCTGAAGGCTGAATATATACGCTTTCCATTGATGTATGGTTTGTTAGGATAGGACAATATTTGGCAACATGGTAGGTTTTACAGGCTTAACTTAAATTCACAATAAAATACCGTATTTCATTAACTGATGTAATGTTAATAAACCAACATATACCACTGTATATGCACTGATAACCACTAAAAACTGGTGGTGATGAGAAAGTCACATGATGAACCAAAGCTCATCAAAAACAGCTTTTCTACGAGCTGAGGAGGACAATACTTATATATAGAAGGTGCACAGTGTCATTCACACAAACACTAAACCCCATCATGGTGACACACATGATACTGAAATAATGCAATAAACATTAATTTAACAACATTACATGTAAGAGTAAGCCCTAATGTACACAACCGATAAGAAAAAAACTAAGAAAAAACGTTATTTCAACAAAAAAACATCAAATATGAAGTGTCATGCAGGGAATTCTGGGAGTGTCAATAAGAAACATGTTATTTCAACAAAAAACATCAAATATGAAGTGTCATGCAGGGAATTCTGGGAGTGTCAATTTACGGTTTGTCTTAAATTTGACTTTTTCTTTTTCATTTCTAAAAACTGTATTTTCTAACAGTATTTTACTGTAAAATTACATGAAATGTAATTACATTTATTCACCGAATATAGTATGGAAATTACTGTTAACCAGTTAACAGGTTTTTACTGTAGCATTTTTACAGTCTTTTACTGTTAAAATCACAATCATTTTTTTACAGTGTAGCTTTGCCCAGCTAATGGCCAGCCCAGACCACCTAGTATGTTCCAAAACACATTTTTGCCAAGAAGGAAGACTACCTAAACACCAAATGCAACATACAAAGGAATCTTCAAACATTATATATTAACTCAAGAACCCTGGATCTTAAAAAGAAGAGCGTTCTTTGAGGAACCAGAAGAAGTGACCCTGTAGACGTCAACATATTTCCTCTCAAGACGGCTGAGGCTTAATCCAGACTTTATAAAACACAATAGAACTTCAGACGGTATTAAAGAAAAAGACAGAGCAATCTGACGGCCAGATCTCGCTCATTCTCACTTACAGACAGACACATCTGAGGCTCGCTTTCATCGGGAGGAAATCCAGATTTCCATTCCTTCCCACATCATCAGACGCTGTTTTCTGAACTCGTCTCCTTCTCCCAGACTGCTCGGTTTCAATCCCATGGCCTTTATTTGGACGAACACAAATACTTCTCTTAGAAATACAGACATTCGGTGAGCTTCAAATACTAGTGATGAATCACAAGCACGTTTACATGCACAATTTTTGGTTCAATCGGACTGAATTCATTCCGATTGATGAATCTGAATGTAGTGTTTACATGAACGCTAAATAAAGTGATCGGGTTGATGTGCGCGCGTTTATATGTCACAAGCTTCAAATCGGAATTGATTTTTTTTTACATGCGCACACTGCACAAATATAGAGTTTCTCACTGTTTGCACATAACCACATTCCTACACGGTTTCTTTACTTGTTTTTAACAGCAGAATTAATATGTATCCATTTATGAATAAATATACATATAAACCGCTGTGCTGTGCAGTGCTGCTCATATTTATCACGCAGTAAAAATGGATGAGAATCCAAAACAAGGACTGGTGAGAGGTTGTCCTGCTCCACTTCACAGTTGCC